CGCCTATAGCAGTAGATGGAAAGGTAGCTAGAAGAGCAGAGAGCTGTGTTAAAGGAAGTGTTTTGTATGGAGATGTGGGCTTTATTTTTCCGGAAGTTGCATGTTTCAGAGGTGAGATCAGTCAATAACATCTGGATTCAGGATTAAGAGTTCAGAGGTAACTGCATCTAGGAGGAAATGGTCAAAACTTCACTGAGGCCTTTCTTCCCTGAGTACAAGTAATGAGTGCTAGCAGTGCAGACTGCTAACATTGTAATATCATTGATCTAGTTTTTCTAGCCCATGTTTGTTTTGCTAATTCTCTGCATTACAGCTTGAGTAACAAGGCCTGGGCAGAGAATATAGCTAGGAGATAACCATGCAGCTAAAATCTAGGCTTGTGCCTTGTCATGTGAATGTTAATCAAATACTGGAGTGGAATGTAGCAGGTCAGAAGGAAGGGAGAGACCCTGACTTGCAGCAGGGATTTTCATCTCTCTCCAGAGAGCAGGAGTGTCACCATTTCTCTTTAATTTTGTAATAACAGGTTCCTCGGAATGAATACGGAAACGTCTATCTCTTCCTGCCATCCATGTTACCCATTGGCTGTGTGCAGCTGAGACTCCCAAATCTGAACAGATTGGCGCGGAAGTTGGACATTGACTGTGCTCAGGCCATCACTGGATTTGATTTTCATGGCGGCTACTCGCACCCAGTGTATGTAAAGCTGCTTTGTTGCAGCTGACAGATGTTGATGTCCTGCAGAAGTTGTACACCCTGTGTTAAGGAGTACATGTGAAGAGTTACACTTAGATCCTGTGAGACAGACAGCTCTGTCAATATTCAGTAGCTTTTGGTTTGGCTGGGTCAGCAGGCATTTGCTCCCTTTCTTTTTTGTTCTAGTAGATGACAGAGGATTGTGTTCTCCTTCCTAGTACCGATGGCTATGTTGTCTGTGAGGAGTATAAAGAGGTCCTCATTGCTGCCTGGGAGAATGAACAAGCAGAAATAGAAAAGAAGGAGAAGGAGGTGAGAATTAGTCTTGCAGCTTCTTTATTGTTACATTTATTAAGTAAATTTCATTTAAACTGTGGACAGTCAAACAAGGGTGGGCTGTGTAAGCAACAGACACAGAGTTCTGTGACCATGAGTGGCTGGTTGCATCCCCCAAATGCGCCATTTTGGGCTTGCTGTCCACACTGCAGCAGGATGCGATACAAGTGGGTAGCAGTATCTGAGATAGATAGTGCATACTCTGGAATAGTTTTCCATAGCTGCTGGGAAACAAAAATGAGGAATATATCTATGACGTTAAAGTTTTGGAGGTGGTTATGGTGTAATTTACACAGTCAGGGTGCCATGTTAGTAAGTGACAGTAATTCATGTATTTACCAGATAACTGGACACCAATACTTTTTACTCTTAAGAATCCTACTGGCCAATAATCTTTTAATGTGACACATGTAAGTTGGCATGGGTTTTTTGATGGCAGTTTAAAATCTTCAAACTTCCATTTTCTGTGGGTGTAAATATATTAAAATTTAAAATAGTAAATTTTTCTCTTTTCAATAACAATCCCACACAGAAGCGTGAGAAAAGAGCTCTGGGCAATTGGAAGCTGCTGACAAAAGGACTTCTCATCAGAGAGAGACTGAAGCAACGCTACTCTGTCAAGGTATTCTGCATTTCTATTAGCGACATCTTTTTCAGGATGATATTTCTCTACCAAGACATTTTTTTCCAGTCTTTCCAATGTGTTATGTTTACAGCTGTAGAGTATAGAACTTCCAGAGTGTAGTTGCTCAAAAATATTTTTCTTTCCTGTTGTTAGCATGTGACAAGCAACTAGTAGAAAAAACTACAACAGAAATACGATGTGGTCATGTCCATGAAAGATTCATTATCATTTAACAAGAGATTAATGTTTCCCAAAGCATCGTTTTTTAGTATTTCCTGTTTTACAGATCCCCTTCCTAGATTTATTCCTCCAAGCCAAGCTAACAGGATGAGAAGGGGGCTGCTTTTTTGTTAGGGCATCAGGTGTTTAGTTCTTAATCATTTCCCCATTGAGAAAGGTGACAGGCATGATCTTTTTAAAGCAGGTTTATTTTATTCTTCCACCGCCAAAAATACTTTGCTTGTGTTGAAAGAATGACATCCAAGAATAGAAACACAGTGCTTTGGGTAAGAAAGAGGCCCAAACCAAAGCAGCTGACTTTTGTAATGTCACTGTCAACTGGGATGGAAGACAAGCCCTTTTAGAAACAGGTAGTTACAAGTGATTTCTAGAGCAATTTTTCAGTTTTCACACCTGTTTTTTCCAGACTGAGCCATCAGCACCTGTGACAGAGAAAGGAGCAGGATTCTCTTCTGATGAAGAAGGAGGTCCGAGTTCAGAGACTACAGTAGGGAATATGGCTGTTTCTTGGCCCCAAAATCGCCAGTTAGAGAAAAAAAAAGAAGAGAAGACAACCAGAAAGAGCAAACGAGAAAAGAAAGGAGAAGCAGCACAGTTATTCCCTTTTGAGAAACTGTGATCAGAACAAGCATTTCTTGGCTGTTTCCAGATGCAAGAACAGTAATCACAACAAAAGTATCCTTTGCCAGTGAAGGACCTAGTCTTCTCTGCTCTTCGGTTTCTGAGCTATCAGGGACCAACCTAATGCAGTATCAAGAGTTTCTTTTGCTATCAATCAATCACAGGTAATTAGGTTCAACCTTTTATCCTTCGACTTAAGAGAAGCAGATGTGTAGGTGTACCTTCTGGGAAGGTCACTTTGTGCTGTTGGGGTTTTTGCTCTCTATCACTCAGCATTGATAATTCTGTTTTCTGAGGCATTCCTTTCATTAGCACTCTCTTTTTTCCATTTTTCTCCTTCCCAATTTTTCCTGCTTGCCCAGAACTAAAGCACGCAGCTGCTCCGTGACAGTCTGTGGTGAGCTGGCCAAAGGACTGGTAACGCCCTCTTTGATTCATACCTCATCCAAACCAGCCGTGAGGTAGAGTTCTGGTCTTACTGTCTTATTGTTACAGAGGGGGAAATACTTCCTCCAAGGTGTAAAGAAACACGCAATCAGGATTCAGAGGAATTTGAAAATTTACTTTCTGAAGAATACCTGCCTTGTGTGAAAACTCAGTTTTGGCTTTTCAGCCTCCAGTCTTTCTTTACTTTCAGAAATCTTGTGCATTAGAAGGGAGAAGCCCCGTCCTGATTTCAAACTTAAGGTTACATATGTCTTCCTAAGCAATTTGAATTTATATGTGTTTCAGTTTTATCAAGACACGTGGATATGTTTTGGAGCAAAATATGTAAAACTGGCTGAGTCTTATTGTCGGAGACAAAATTCACTGAAAGCAGAGAACTCTTGTAAATGTTATCCAGTACCTAAGCTTTTAAAAACTGTTGAGAGGAATGTTAGATCTACACAAGCTTTTCCCGCAGTTGTGTAATAGAAATGCTGATCTGTCTTTTGCAGCATCTTTATAATTAAATTACACTGACACTGTCTCTTTAAAAATAGGGAGAAATACAGTCTAGTCATTGGTGGTCACAGAGGAAAGATTGAAATGCAAGAAAATGGCTTACACTTAATCATGTTAAAAAAATAATCTATTTTTGTACTGTATTTGTAGAAGAAAATAAAGTATGGAAAGAGTATGTTGCCCATTACACCTCCCCTCCAGCCAGCTCATTCTTCTGTTTCCCTGCAGGGACTCTCACGCAGGGATAAGAGCACACGGTAGTATTTCCAGAAGTCACAGATGGGGTCCCAGGATGTTCCAAAGCTGGCTGCTTGTGAATTGTTTTAGTGTTAAGGATCTTCACTCCCAAGTCTTTAGTTTTTACTACTGAATTCCAAACAAAGACCAACCTAAGTTGGAGGCTTGGAGAGTAGATACAACCTGTATACAGGGCTTCAAGAAAAGTTCTACATCTTGCACGAACTGGTAAAACTGCAGAGAGCACAGAGGATGTAATTCCTGCCGTTAGTCGTGGTGCCAACATGCAGGATATACCCTGGGATGAGCTCATTGGACGTGAGGGCCCACCTCCAGCTCCTGCTGGTATCCGTCATTTTTCATCTGCTTAAAAAGGGAGCTGGTGCCAGCTGTGCCAAAGCGACTCCCTACGTCCTAACTTGGGACGCTCGGCACAGATACACCAAGTTATAAGTCCAGTGACATAGTCAGCAGGGAAAGACAAGAACATCTTCAGATGGCAGGATTCTGCTGCTCAGGCACGTAGGCAGCCAGCTCTCCTAACTTAAGCGTGCAACGGGTGAAGGAGTACATCTGCTTTAAGGAAGACCACAGTAGAGACAGAAGATGACTGACAGATCAGTGCATGGTCTGTCAGATCATGGTAAGGAAGCAAGCGAAACACACTGCTGTTGTTTCTATAGAAACATTTGTGTACATGCAATGAAAGTGAGCCTTGGCTCCCCAGCACACATGGCCTGGGAAAGATAAAGTTCTTTACTTAGTCTTTATTTTGCATCATTCCTGTGCGCTAGTATGGAAGACAAAAGTATTTAAAGCTGGTGAATGCATAGGTAAACCCCCAGCCTCTGTAGAAGTACAAGAGGCTGGATCCAGTCATAGAATCATAGAATGGTTTGGGTTGGAAGGGACCTTAAAGATCATCTAGTTCCAACGCCCCTGCTGCGGGCAGGGACACCCTCCACTAGACCATGTTGCCCAAAGCCTCATCCAACCTGGTCTTAAACACTTCCAGGGATGGGGCCTCCACAGCCTCTCTGGGCAACCTGTTCCAGTGCCTCACCACTCTAAAGAATTTCTTTCTAACATCTAATCTAAATCAACCCTTCTTCAGCTTAAACCCATTAGGCCTTGTCCTGTCACTTCACTCCCTGATAAATAGCTCGAACCATCATATTTTTAAAATAATCTTACGGAGGCAAGGAAGTTGTTACTAAAGTAGTCAGCAATGGGGAGTAAAGCCAGGCTAGGCTGGAATCAGGCATTCATCACATGGAGTGTATAGACCAGAGAGCAGCTGTGCTGTTACTAGGAGCTTGCTTCCCAAAATGGGGAAATACTTGCAGGCTAAACAAGACCCCACTGCACACTTCTCTCAACCAACAACAGAAAACTAGTTCATGTGGAACTAATCCTCCATGTACCCAGACACTTCCTGGACATGAAACATGCAATACTGAAACATAATAAAAAAGCAGCCTACAGACCAACCTTTTGAAAATTGTCTTTTATTAAATGTACAAAAGCTCAGCAGTTCTGTAGAAAATTGTATCTTCATCTCCAATATGGTAATGATTGGTTAGTTCCTGCATCGCTGGTAAAACAGCAGTCCAACACCTGTTCTACCCAGTGGAGTGCAATTCTTGATGGAGCAAAAACTGGTGTTAGCTAGCAGCAGAAATACTGCGCAGCATGGCTAACGCCTGCCAGCTGCATGTGTGACACTACTTGCGCTTCCTACAACCTTTCATTCACTGCTACGGCTTTAACCAGAGGGACCGAGCCAGGAGACTGAATTGACAACATTAAAATTCCAGAAGAATGAAAAGATTTAGGACTAATAAAGTAATTGCTATTTCTCAAACAATTTATAACTCAGAACCCTATTTCAGTACCATTTGTAGCAAACATTTGCTTCTATGTACGTTCAAGTTAAGTTCCTTCAGTACGGGGAACGCATTTCTCCTAATGGTTGTAACTGCATTTCATAAATGAAGACATTATTTTTGTACTTAATTGTGTATACTTACAGGAAAAAAACCCACTGTAGTGTCAGGGGGGCACATCTGGAAGCCAGAGTAGCTAGGTGGAGAGAGACTTAAAAACAGTACCAGATAGTCTGTAATCTCAAGTACCGGTTACAGCAGAAATATGCAAACATGAGCCATCACAACACTACAAGAAGGCATTCCTCTAACATGATATAAAGCTCAAAATTTAGGCTACTAAAGTCTATTAAATCTAATCACGCAAAAATGTTTTCATTATTTAATTTCATGGAGTATGTTCATTGTCCTTACTATGTGAAATTCAAGAAAGTATACACAGCAAAAAAACCCCAAATATTTTCAAGAATATACATTCAATTGTAAAAGTTGATTTTGTTTCAAGGCAGCAGGTTTTATTTTTAAAGGTTCGTGACCTCTGAGTCTCCCCTTAAATAAGTGCAATTCAAAGTTAAATTTTTGAAATAGTTATGCAATGGTATAGTCCATGCTACCATTTTGGATGCTTAACCAAGAACAACTTCAGAGACTCTAAAAAGTTGTGGGAAATCAACACTTTCTGACAAACCCGCCCTACCTCAGAGCACTGCTAACCTGGCCACTCATTATTTCAAGTAACTTTGAAAATCCTCAGTCCAAAAGCATACATTTTACATGAGTATTGTGTGAAATTTGACTAAGTTGTGTTTTTCCTTGGAACACATACACTTTGAAATGCATCAGCCAAAGAAGTGTACATGACTGTGCATATAAGAAAAGGCAGCAGAGGGAGGGTTTGTCAGAGACAGGTACACACGTATTTCCTACGGATATCTAATCATGGACCACGTGATATAGATGGCACTTTCTCCGCAATACGCATGGCACTTTCTCCGCAATATGCAAGGTGCCCCACCTGTCAGTGAGGACTTGCCACTTCTCAGATCAGGGGCAATTAGTAAGTGGTAAGAGGAACAAATCTGCCTGTTCACTGACTTAGAATCAATACAGACACTCCAAAATTTCCCCAAAGTCAATGGCATTGACTTCCTACCAACAACAACCTATACTCATATTTTTCATGGATAACATGTCTCAACAGCCACATTTGAGCCCCTTCCCCAATGCCTGGTGCACACTGCTGAACTGTGATATGCTGTAAGCACGCTGCAGTAACTGGGACAGAAATGCACTTGAGAAATTTCTACCCAGGATTCAGCACAAAACCCAACCACCTCCTTCTCACTGCTGCTTCTTTGGGGGAACACGAGATTTCGCAACCACAATTGGAACTACAGAAAGCAACCCAATCAGCAAAGCCCAGAGAGGGCGGTAGAAGAGCCAGCCAACGGAGATGGTCAGGAGTGACAGTGAACTGGCTACGCAGAAGGCAAATGCTTTTAATCCAATGTTAACCAGATCTCTCACAACAGGAAACCAGTCCACTGCAGAAAGAATTAAACAAGGGATAAAGCAGTTGAGAAGATGATAGTTTAAAAAGAAGTCTTATGCATGCCTAGGATTTGCACACTAACTATTACAATCAAAAGACAGACTCAAATTATTTATCAAGAGCACTGGAAAGGCATTCCAGCAGAGTATCCTCATGGCATTCAATAATTAAGCTACAGCTAAACATCTGCGACAACGGTATCCTCATCTCTTCAGACAGGAAGTAATCCAAATTTAAGTCTGAAGTCTCATCCAAGGATTGAGAGGCAGAGTAGACTGATAGCCTTGCAGCTATGGAACCAGTCTAGGGCAACTGATACAATATGCTAGCACAAAAAATAATTTCTGGCAACAATAAATCTCGCAGTAGCACGCATATGAGTAAGTAAATATGAAAAAAAAAAAAAAAAAAGAGTGCACACCGCCACATAACAAATGATAGTTTTGATGTTTTAA